GGAGCCTCGGCCGCCGCCCTCAGCGCAAGTGGGAGGTGTTCCCGGGCCGCAACCGCTTCTACTGCGGCGGCCGCCTCATGCTGGCCGGCCACGGCGGCGTCTTCGCGCTCACGCTGCTGCTCATCCTCACCACCACCGTCCTCTTCTTCGTCTTCGAGTGAGTTCGGCAGCGCCCCGCGCCCCGCCCCTCTCAGGCGCCCCAATCTCTCGGGTCCCCACCACCCCCGGCTGGTCACCCCCATCCTACCCTCCCTCGCCCTCCCGCTTTTGCCAGGCACCGCATCTTCCCCGGTCCTGTGTCGCGCACTCAGTCCTCCCAGGGCGTTCCACACTTCCCAGCCCTGCCAAGCACCCTCCTCGCCCCTGCTCCTCTCAGCATCTGCCCTTCGGCCTCTCGTTGTCTCCTCTACTGCTCCCAGCACCCCCCACCCTCTCCTGCCCTTCTCTGTCACCCTGGCTTTGCCTACCCCTGCCAGGAACCCTGTCCTCCCATGGCACTCCACAACCCACTATCCTCTCTTCCCTCTCAGAATCTGCCCCACCAGGCCTTCTGGCTCTTCTTCCTCACCTGTCCCTCACACCGTTTCTTGCCCATCCCCCAACTTTCTTTTATCTCTTTTCTTTATATTCATTCCAGGCAGCTTCTAAATTTCTGTCTTGTCCTTTGACTGTATACACCCCCACCGTAAATTTCCTAGCCATCTTCCCTTCCTTCCAGGGTCCCCTCTGTCACCTCTACTCTCAGATTCTCCCTCCTTTCCCTCAGTCATTCTCACCTAAGGCATCTTTGCTCAAGTATCTCTGGGCATCTCAGGCCTCCCCTTGCCTCCACATCACTTTCCTTCGTTTCTCCAGAGCTTTCTGTCCTTCCCTCAGTCCCCATGATCCCCCCAGGTATATCCCAGGCCCCAGCCCCCACCTTCTGGCCTCCTGGCTTTCTCTCACTTCTCAAAATTCTGGAGCATCCTCTGGCCTGTCCACATCAGGAACAACTGCAGTGTGTTGTTATTTTTCAAGAAAGAGTCCAGAGTGCTTTCATGTGACAGGTCATATTTGTTCCCACAGGTTTCTGACCTCTTCATCTCCCCATTGAGCCAGGATTGGCCCATCTGGGGTGGCAGGGACATTATCTCCGTTTTATGGATGGAGGGGTGGATTTATTACTTTACCAGGGTCACGTATTTGTATCAGAAGTTTTCCACCCCACCTTGTCTCTGGCTTTAGCCACCTGCTACATGATTCCTTATACACACACGCACGTACACATGAGCACACCCCGCCCCTGTGCTGCATGAACCCCATCTTCCCCTCCCTAGTTCTCTCCATCCTTTGCGGTTATCTTCCTTAATTATAGAACATGGTCAAGAGTTCTATCTTGGGAGCAAACAGACCTCGTTCAAATCCTAGCTTCACCACTCACTAACAGTGAGTCCCTTCACCTCTCATAGTCTCAGTCTCCTCACCTGTAGAATGGGGTTTACCCACCTCCAAAGGTTACCCACCTCCTAAGGTTGTCATGAGGGTAAGCATGAGGTAATGCATGTAAAACTCTCAGCCCAGTAACAAGCACTTACTGCTGGCTGCTGTTATTACTGTTTGTCTTTACCAAAAGAACATGTCCCAAGGGCATGTAGCCGAGGTAAGGCTGCCACAAATACACCAGCCCCCAGGTGCTCTCTGCTAGATGGTGTATCCTCAACCTTGGGTTTCCCCTTGAAGCATGGTGAGGACTTACTATGAATCAGCTTCTCCCTTTTGCTCTTTCAGCAAGCATTGCCCTTCCTTTCTGAGTCAGGGTGGATGAAGAGTTCAGGGATGATTTGACAAGCTGAAGCTCTGGGGAGCTCCCAGCCCCCAGCAGAGTCCATGGGCTGAGTTTCAGATCCACCTCACCTGGCTGCCAGCGTGGGGCTTTAGAAGTGCCCTGTCCAGTATCCCCATTTCTGAGTGAGGAGGTGCGAGGGCTGCGGCCGAGGCCAAAGGAAGTGGTACTTGTTGTGGTTGGGCCCCCGTGATCCTGTAGCATGGGATTCCTTCAGTTCAAGAGCAGGACCTTCAGGGCTGAGCGGGTATCTTCACTGGTGACTGATTTGTTTCCGGAGAGGGAGGAAGCAAGACTTCTGCGTTCCGGGAGGGCTGTGAATCATCTTGCCTTTTGTCTCCACTCCTCACTTGGGGTGGTGGATTTGGTAGGAGGGTTTGGGTTTTGGCCAAGAGTGCTCACCGGAGTCTGGGTCTGGGACTGGGACTGGGGTGAAACCTCAGCAGAATCTGGTGTGGCAGGAATGCTGTTGGTGAGGACAGGGAGGCTGGGCAGACACTCAAACTCCCCCATTACTCTGGAAGAAGGTGAAGGTGGCCATTCTTGCCATGAACAGTTTTGCTTCATTGTTCAATGGATTATCATGCAGGGCTCCCAGCTTCTGCCTTTCTTCCCAGCCCCAAGCAGCAGCCAGAGTGTCCCTTTAAGTCAGAGCCAAATCCTCATTGGCTTCCCATCTCTCCCACTCCCCGCAGTAAGAGCCAAAGCCCTGATGATGGACTTCCCTCCCCCCACTTCATCCCCATCTCCCGCTCACCCCTGCCCATTCCCTTCCAGCCACGTTGGCTTCCTTATACACTCCTACCTCAGTGTCTTTGCACTGCTTGGAATACTGTAAAAATGCCTTCTCATCCTTGCCCCTGGGCTGGTGTGCACTTTTAGTCTTGTTTTGTTTTATGGGCCCTTCTAGTGTTTGGCTGAAGGGTGAATCTCTGGAGTAACTTCAGTACTGAGTTAAAAAGGTTTCCGGGGGGCCATACTCCCTGGATTTCTCCAGTCTCTGTCAGACCAGTAAGTCTGGTCTTTTTTTGTGAGTTAGAATTTTGTACTACATTTTTCTCCAGCTCTGTCCTGGACCCTCTATTGTGTTCCCTGTCAGAGCAGTCGGTGGTGGTAGCCAGGCACCATCTAGTTGTGCTGGACTCAGTCTGGTGGAGGCTGTGGTAGTTGTGGTCCGTTAGTCCTTTGGACTAATCTTTCCCTTGTGTCTTTGGTTTTCCTCATTCTCCCTTGCCCTAGATGGGGTGGGACCAGTGGAATATCTTAAATGGCCCCTCCCAAGCTTTTAAGACCTCAGATACTACTCATCAAAGTAGGATATAGAACATTTTCTTTATAAACGGTTATACCAATTGAGCTAGAAGTCCCCAGAGACCATGGTTCCACACCTTAACTATCTTCGGGTTCATATGCATATGGTCTTGGGCCTCTTGCTGGGTAGAACCAGTAGACCCTGGCTGCCTATCATTCTGCTTATCTGGCCTGGCTTTTGCCCCAGGCCACTCTGGGTGGGGCTTTTCTCAGCTCAGTTGCAGCATAATCTTTCCTTCAGCCATTACAGGCAACAACAGCCAAAGCAACCATCGAAGAAGAATCGAAAGTTTCACTTCCCAAGCCCCTTCGTTCTTTCTCTTACGAAGTCCCATGCTTTCATGAGTCTGGAGCCATTGCAAAGAATCCTTCTCCTGACCCCGACTGTAAAAATGGCATGGGGGCAGTGTCTGACCTCTTCTAACGTTACAAGGGGGAAGGAGAATCAAGATCAACAGCCCAAGGCTGATTCTTATGAGGTAGAGATCAGACATGCCTTCCGTCTCTGCCATCTTTACCAACTCTGACACCAACTGTCCCTCCCTGCTCTACTTCTCGGCTGGGTTCGATAATTCATTGCAGTGGCCACACAGAATGCACAGACAATACTCACGATTATGAGGTTTATTAGGGAAGTAACAGGTTACAATTCAGGCTCAGGAACACTGAAAGATACAATTCTTCCATCAGGACTGCCTCTTCCCAGCTGTGCTGGCAGGCACGCACGCTAGGCCTCTGCCCAAAGTCATTCAGCTTTCTCCTGGGCCAGGAAGCCCACCACGCCATCTCTTGCTGCTGGGTCTTGGCTGCCAAATCTCTTGCCACTGCTTCTCACCATTTTCAAGGTTACAGCTCTCTCTCTCTCTCTCTGTGTCTCTTGGTTCTGTTACCGGAACAGGGTCCATGCCCTGGAACGGTTGAGCCAATGAAACATACTCCAAGTCAGAAGAGTGAGGAAGTTTTATTTTAGGAGGTGTATACCACCGGGGATCCAATAGCAACGCAAGCTGTCTCTATTCTTTTAGGTAGTAAGCGCCTTTAACCTTGGAGATGAAGAAACCTGGGTATTTTACTTCTGTGAGGTTAGCTTGTAACTTTCTTAAAGAGACTCTTATCCAGCTTCGGCCCAAAAATTTAAGGCAGTCACAGTGTTTGTGACAGAGACTTCCTCAGACTCGCTTCCTATCAGGAGGTTGTCCACGTATTGAAAGGCCATTCCTTGGCTGAGGGAAGTTAACTGCTGTAGATCTCGGGCCAGCACTGTTGCAAAAATAGTGGGGGAGCTCTTAAACCCTTGGGGTAGCACAGTCCAACAGAGCTGTTTATTTCTTTTGTCACCTTCCCATTCGGAAGCAAAGATCAGCTGTCTCTTAGTAGCCAGTGGGATATAAAAAAGTGTCTTGTAAATCCAAAACAGTAAAATGAGTACAGGAGGGTGGGAGAGCCTATTGTAGGGTGCGTGGATTCGGGACTGCCACATGTAGGGTCTTCACAACTTTATTAACAGCCCACAAAATGGTACTCACCGGTCGACATCTTCTTTACTGGCAGAACAGGGGTGTTGAATGGGGATCAGCACTCGCAACAGTCCCCACTCCAGGTGTCAAGTGATTGGTTCCTGCAGTCCCAGACGAGCCTCAACTCTCAGTGGATATTGTTTAATCCGAGAAGGCATGGCATTAGGTAACGGCCCCACAACCACAGGGAGGACAGTCTGAGCTCATCGTGGCTGACCACTGGCCCAAACCCACGGGGCCACAGCATCAACCACCCTTTGAACCATGGGTGAGACAGATGCAGGGGATAGCAACGGTTGGGTGAGGGCTAAGAGAACTGCTTCCACTTTCCAGGTGTTCGCTGGTGGTACTGTTAGAGACAGGCCTTTTTTATTAAAAGAGATTTCGGCATGCATTTTACTTAGGAAATCCCACCCCAGAAAGGGGGACCAGGCATTTGGATATGTATAGAAACTGGTGGCATAGTTTGATTTCCCCTATTTCACAGTCCATTGGCTGCAAAAGGAT